ATTTTCGAATGTTTACAGCTGAAAGCTTACGAAAAGCTTGTGATTTCCAGAGAAAGCTTTGAAAGAGTTTTATCAATTTATAAACTCTTACAGGTTGCTCCTTATTCACCTACCTGCCATATCTTGCTATCAACTCCTCAGCACTTTCGATCACAGCTTTCACTGTTGAACGATTCATAGGCATATGTCATCCATTTTGGGCCAGGTACATTTCATCTTCATTGTTGTCCTGTTTTATCCATAAAAGTCTAGACAATGTCATTTTCAGAACAATATGCACTGTGAAAAGGGCGAAGCTTATCATTGGCATCATCTGGGCATTTTCGCTTATTTACAACTTTCCATGGCTCTTCCTTTCTGGGCTTATACACGATGAAGAGGGTGCTTATTGTGATTTTAAAATGGGAAGAGAGGACTGGAAATATAAGGTATTTCTAAAATCAGTCATTACGACAGTTCAAATAGAAAGTTTTGATCTATAGGTGATGTACGTAGGCGATTTGGTTGGATTCTATGTTATTCCGATGTTTTTGAACATTGTTATCTATGCAAAAATTGCCATAGTACTAAGTCAATGTGGAGAAAAACTGAAGCAAGACCCAAAAGAAAAAAGTAGGTTTTTTGTGTCCACTATTTTTTTCCAAACCTAAGATGCATTTTAAGATGGACAAACGAGCTCCTTGCTTTCATCGCCACCACTGGGTGAAGCGAAGGAGAGTCACATCACTGGGAGAAGAAATTCATCAAAGGGAAGAAATCAGGTTAGTAAATTTTGATGGCTCAAAGATAAAGTTTTATTTATGGTTAGTGAAAAATTGAAATTTACGAGGACGAAAAGATTTATATATAAAAAATCGTAAGCGCCATTTAAAACGGTTGAAATTGGGGAAAGCATGACGGTCCCGAAGCGCGCGGATGCAAATCTAGCCTTTATATTGCTGGTTCACTAGTAAAGAAAAGTTATCATACTGGATTGGCACATGATATCAACTATAAGCTTTTGCTGTTGCTTGCCATTATAATTAGGAAATTTGAAAATAATTTTTGAATTTAATTTCAACCTTTCTGCTGCATTTTCTCATGACGCACTCAAAAAGATGCGGAATTTTTCAAAATGTTCAAATATTTGGTTTTACCTCTCGAAGCTAAAGGCTCCGCTTAAATCTTTTTTGGCAAGAAAAATTAGAAAAACTAATAAAGTGGCAAAAATTGCATGAAAAAATGGGGGCTGGCATTCTGCCAACAAAAAGGAGAGAAATGCAACTAATTCGCTTTTCGAAGCCTAATAATTTTTGTCACATGAAGAACTATGGAAATGAGATCCTTCTTTTTCCTTTTTCCAATTTTCAAAATAGAAATTGAAAGAAAAGAATCGAAAATGTCAAAGAGGGGACGGGGAAATATGTACAATATAAACTTCAAAATATCCCTGTCAAAAATATTTTTCTAGCTTATGCGTACTTTGTAAAAAAACAAAGACCCTTTTTAGGTTGTAAAAATGTTGGCTTTGGTCGTATTCGTCTTTGCTACGTGTTGGCTACCGTATCGTGCAATGGTAGTCAATAATTCATTCCGTGACGAGAAATGGAATTCTGAAGGGTACGTCAAAAATAAGTTTTTATGCCTATTATTCATACATTTTTCACGACGTTCAGGTATATTCTCTTCTCAAAGACGATGATTTTCATTAATTGTGCCATCAATCCAATTCTATACAACCTGATGTCGGCCAGATT